GCGCTGCGACAACTTTCGACATGTAAAGACAGAGCCAAGCTCACGCGTTGCCCTGCTGTAACTTCATTGATAAACGGTCGTTCACAACGAAATACTGAGACATGTTTTGCGGTGATTGTTAGTTTACAACGGCATCTTTCGTTTTATCTCCAAGTGCAGCAGGAATTGACAGGATTGGAGATGACGGGAAAAAACGCCATAAAAAATCGTTATAGTGTAACTGCATTTCCTACGTCGGAACACGAGGCAGTGTAAGCCCCAGGTTATTTAGCATCGATGAAATAATGAAAACTCACTTGATATATCAGCCCTTGTTATTTAAAACGACAATTCCTCAACTATTGCTATTGCTCATATAGTTCTCATACTACCACTGACCTCAATGCAATAAAATCAGAGATAAGCCTAAATCTAATCTGCAGGAAACGGACGTCCTCTGACAAGCGTAAATCGCCAATTTATAATTACTCAGTATTATACATCCGTGACCTTATTGATAATTGAAAAATACCGTGCAGAAATTAACAGTTGTTTATAAATATAAATGTAGATCCATCCATCATTTATAAATATAAATGTAGATCCATCCATCATTTATAAATATAAATGTAGATCCATCCATCATTTATAAATATAAATGTAGATCCATCCATCATTTATAAATACAAATGTAGATCCATCCATCATTTATAAATATAAATGTAGATCCATCCATCATTTATAAATATAAATGTAGATCCATCCATCATCCATCCACCTTCTGAAACTGTTCCCTTGGCTTCTCATTAGGCAAGACTGTGCTATGGACTCAAGAAGGGTATGAAGCCAAATGTAGTTAGAGCGATTTCTGAAGTTTTACACGGGAACGATATGCAGATTTTACACACATATACTGACGCATCCAAGGATTCGGCCATGATCAGGAAACGTACTGCTGGAGCTTTCTGGATCCCTGATTATATTATTTCTGATGTGTTCAGGCTTCATGATTATACATCAGTCATTGCAGCAGAACTCCTAGCAATTCTACAAGCACTGAGATGGGTCGATTAATATAACAATGAAGCAATCATATTTACTGATTCATTGTCGGCGTTTAAGGCTATTGAGTCTGGAATAAATGGGTATCGAAATAATATTCTTTATGAAATTTTGAAACTGGACACAAATTTGAATCCAAAATATATCTCATGTGACACTGTATGGGCACCAACTCATGTCGGTTTTCAGGGTAATGAAACAGCAGTCAGGATTGCTAAAGGCTGAGGTTGATCATTTATTAATTCAGGCCTTGCCAAAGAGATTTTGAATGTGCCATTGAAGTCTCCTTTCAATGGCAAAACTTGTGAGATGTTGGATCTACTGAAAGACATATGTATAGATTCTATCCTTCAATAACACAAAGTTGTAAAATTCGCCGTCGTAAGAGGCGTGACAAAGTTGTTTTAAGTCAGCTTCGTCTTTGCCACTGTGCACTTAATGTCTACACAAGTATTGTTTATAAGGAAACATCGCCTCTTGTGACCAATGCAGTGATAAGACCCCTGAAACAGTTCCACACTGTCTGATAGAGTTTCCCGTTATGTTAACATCAGACAAAATCTTAGAAGTGTTTGTTTTTGTGTAGAATAAACATAATATTTTTGTGTGTTTTTTTCTGTGTTTTCCTTTCCCAAAACAATTTTTATGTTTTTATACATGTCACTAAGCAGAGGATCCTGCCATTTCATCAATATATGAAAATATAGTAAATACACTTTTATGCATGGTAATATATATGTTATCATTTGCAGTATGTGTTGAGCGCAAATAGACCCTACTTCTGGTACAAGTCGGCCTAAACCTATATCACCACCACCGCCACCACCAATTATCACCAATTGGATTCAAAGATCAATCGAGGTTTATCTTTATAACGTCACGGATCAAGAAGGGAAGGATGAGAGCCTCCCCTAAAATCGAAAAAGCTAATAATCTTTACGATATTAAAGCTATATAATTTATCTTAAATCGAAGTTATTTGACACTAGCCATACTGTTGACATACGTGGAATCCATACTGGCGTTATATATACAACTTTGGTCTCCCCACAAATGTAACGACAGTGTCAGCGCTGTATCGGGATAGTGAGTGAGTGAAGTTTTGCATCGCCTTTAGCAAAATTCCAGCAATATCACGGACACCAGAAATGGGCTTCACCTATTGTGCCCATGTCGGGATTCGAACCCGGGTCTTCGGCGTGAGGAGCGAACGCTTTAACAACTCACTCACTCACTCACTCAAGGTATCACGAGATATTCATTGTATTTCACCAGTGTTTATCGTTTCATACTTCTTTGAGAAGACAAATGAAACATTTTGATCCTGGAACTAGTAAACCTAAATTGAATAAAGCTTGTAGACAAGCGAGGACAGAAAGCAGGAAAGCCCTAAGAAAATTTAGACGATGTCGCAGTGAATATAATCGTAAAGGTTACTGCAGACTTAGAACCATTTATAAATCTTCTTGCAGAAAGTTCAAATATGATATCCAATCGTCAAGACTTGAAAAGTCTTATTATGTTATAAAGTTATTTCAGAAATGCTGAAATACTCATTACCTGACATTATGCCCTTCCTGGTTAAAATGTTCAATCGGGTATTTGATACAGGTCGTTTTCCTTCCGTATGGGCGCAATCTATTATTATCCCGTTATATAAAAACGGAAATGCACAAAATCCTGACAATTATAGGGGTATTTCTCTGACTAGTATTCTAGGTAAAACTTTTACATCTATTATCAACAGTAGGTTAACACAATGGTCGAATATGAGAGATTTAATACAGGAACCTCAAGCAGGATTTAGAAAGGACTACTCAACATTTGATCATATATTTACCTTGTATGCCATTATTGAGAGATATTTATCCTTTAGCAAGCGAAAGTTGTATGTAGCTTTTGTAGATTTCAAAAAGGCGTTTGATTCTGTAGATAGAGGTAGAATGTGGAAATGCTTAAGAAATATAGGTTTGAGAGGTAAAATGTATGGTATCATAAGATCGATGTATTCCAATGTAAAGTCATGTGTCCGCTGTGGCTATGGTGTAAGTGACTTTTCGATTGTCCTGTCGGTCTGCGTCAAGGACGTATTTTAAGTCCTTTACTTTTCTCCTTTTCATTAACGAATTATATTTAGATATCATGAAGTCTGGTAAACATGGCATCCAACTTTCTCCCGATGTAATCGAACTTTTTATGTTATTATTTGCTGATGATGTCATTCTTATGTCCAGCTCTGTAGTTGGTCTTCAAAATCAAATAGATATACTCTCAGCGTATACAGATAAATGGCAGTTGAGTGTGAATCTAGATAAAACAAACATCGTTATATTCCGTAGAGGTGGTCCTTTGTCGGCTAGAGAGAAATTGTTTTTTAAAGATAAACGTATGAATGTTGTGAATGATTATAAATACCTTGGCATATTGTTTACCCATACGCTGAATCTGAATAAGTCCGTACTTAACCTGGCGAGGAGAGCAAAGAAAGCTCTTTTACAACTTCACTCTGTTGTTCCTATGCTCGGTCTTGTTCCACCGACTATTTACTTCAAATTATTTGACTCTCAGATACAACCGATTTTACTGTATGGATCTGAAATATGGGGTTTTAAAGAGTATTATACCATAGAAAAAAATCATTTGCTTGCCTGTAAAAAGTTTCTAAATGTTGGTTTGTCAACACCAAATGTTATGGTTTATGGTGAATGTGGGAGGTTCCCATTGTACATATCATCTTATTGTCGTAGTTTAAAATATTGGTGTAAAATAATTAATATGCCTGAACATCGTTTACCTAAAAAAGCTTTAAATATGCTTTTACATCTTGATTATCTTGGAAAGAATAAGTGGACATCTCATATTCGCACCTTACTATTTAGATATGGTTTTGGTTTTATTTGGTTATCACAGACAGTTGGCAATGCAAATATGTTTATTAAACAGTTTCGTATGCGGGCTATTGATATGTTTAAGCAGGAATGGCATTCAACTATTAATGAAAGTTCTAGATATGATTCATATCGTCAATTTAAGTTGTTGCTTGAGCCAGAGTGTTATCTTGCTCACCTTCAATACAGAAATATTCGCAATGCTTTTATACGATTTAGATTAGGCCTTAATGATTTATTAATTAACCGTAGAAGATATGTTTCTATGGAAAAAACCCAAAGATTATGTCAATTCTGTTACATTATTGAAGACGAATTCCATTTTATGTTTATTTGTCCTGTATATGAAAATCTAAGAAATAAGTATCTACCGCAACTGTCTTTATCTCAAATCAACGTTAATCTATTGTCTTCCTTACTTTCCAGCAAAGAACCTCCAAAACAACACAAAGTTGCTCTATTTATCTACAATGCATTTTTGTTAAGAAAAGAATTGATTAGTTAGAAAGTTGATTATATATGCCATTGTCAAGATGTATCTCTTTTGTATATGGGCCTATGGCCTTTCATACAATAAAGAACTGAATTGAATTGAGAATATCATAATTGAGCATGCTTATTGAAACGTGGCATATGTTCATTTGAAATGGTGTACATTGAATTCACTTTGGTCTCACCTAATGCATCCTTTACTAGGATGTGAGTGGAAACGTACATATCAGATGACGGACAACTAGGTTGTAGCATTATTTGTGACATGCTTTTATTGAACTAGATTTATGTATACATTAATATCTATTGTAACTCTAAACATTTCACCGTGTGGAAACCGCGTGTGTGAAAATGCAATGAGTACATCTCCCTTGATACGAGTATGAATAGCATTGGACTTGACAGACAAACAATCATGGCCAGTCTGAATCAGTGACAGAGCATACCCGTGAACATCCGGGTTAGAACTGGTCTTCGGTTACCCACGCTTGTCCTAAGAGGCGACTAACGGGATCGGGTGGTCATCTTCGCTGACTTCGTTGACACATATAATCGTATCCCAGTTGCTTATATCGATGCTCATGCTGTTCATCACTCGATTGTCTGGTCCAGGCTCTATTATTTACAGACCGCCGCCATCGCTGGAATATTGCTGAGTGCGGCGTTACACAACAAGCAATTAATCTTCCCAAGGCATGGCGGTATCTACCTTTGAGGAATCTATCATTTGATATTATGCCCTCTATTACTTCACATTCTAGATACTGACAGAACACTAAGCTGCTTAGAGCAACATTTTGATGTATGCATGCAAACAGAAAAACATTATTATACCAACAAATCTTAGTTTGCTTGTGAATAATGACGATGCTTTCGTACCAGAAGCACAACACTTGCAATGACACACAGAAACAATATTCCACTCACAATGGCTAAACTCCAGGTTAATAGACCGTATTTTTCTTTTTCACTTTGTATCGGTTTTGATTGGAGAGCAATAATCTGTGGCAGCACACTATTCCAGAAAGCCATCTGGCGAGCTCGAGGCTTGTATGCTGTCTTTATTGTTCCCTTCCCATCAACCACATCGATTTTCATGTACGCTTGAATCTCGCTATCAAACTGTTGGTAGTATACTGGATCAGTTTCGACAGTTGACGAAGGCTTCCTGAAAAGTGAAATGTGTTTATACGAAAGGAGTCATGTAATGTTCACATTTTGCAATGAACCATCAATTAATTTCTAACATTGACGTCTATTATCAAATTTAATGCAACTTTGTGAGCTATCAGTTAATACAGTTATTCATATTAACACTGACGTCTATTATCAAGTTTAATGCTAGTCACGTATGTATCATGTTCATTATCCTAAACTGTCACAACAGGGACGCTCTTCATACATGAGTCAGCTCACACTACATGTATATCAGCATCAGAAAGTCACCAACGAAAGGAAAAGCAGGAGAATAGGGATCAGAGATGCTACTTGTGAAACCACTTTCTCCGCGACTTGACGCATGGCATTGTGATGTAAACAGAATTAAGAATTTGGGGCGATACCATAATACTGATCCAAATAACCGTCCTAAACAAATAGAAACATATAAGCTATTTGTAAATGATTAAAACGCAATTTGAGACCTTTAGTTTATGTACATGCCGGAATAAAATGGTTTGGAAAACGCTGCCACGCAATATTCGCTAGGAGGTCATTTCCTCACCCTGTCTTGACGAAGTTGCTCCACATGTTCATGAAGACTCTGCTGACCTGGCGATCTTCCTCCGTATAGTTGTACAGGGGATGTCCAGAGAAAGGACAGCCGAACAGGTAGAACAGGTCTCGTCCATGTGGAACAGCTACAGGTACAATTGAATGAAATATTGTATGAACAGATTATATGAGCTTTGTCCACGACAAATACCTTCATCTAGACAATCAGGACGTATGATTTGAAAATATAACAACGATAACAACATCATCATGTCTATCATACTATCCAACAGGTAAATAACATCAATAGTAAGCTGATGAGTTGATGTTTGTGATGAACGTACCAACCACTCCTTGAGGAAAAACAGTTATGGCTGAGGAGTTAATCATGATAAACAGTGGAAAATCCTTTACAGCATACTATATAATGTTGTTATTGTGAAAACTTTCGTCTTTACTTCCAGTTTATTGTTTTCGTTTGTATGTATATTTTATAATGGGTTATATTCAGTTGAATCACGTACATACCTTGCACCTTGGCAGAAGGTGATGCATAATCAAATGAATAAAAGTAGACGTTGTCCGTCCTGGCAGCGAGACGTATAGCTACATCGAAGGTAGGACCGACTATCTCATGATCTCCCCATACCTGGAAAAGAACGTAGATAGGTAGGTAGGTAGATAGATAGATAGATAGATATGTGTGTGTGTGTGCGCGCGCGTGTATTCGTGGGGGTGTGTACACATAAAACGATGTATGTATGTACAAAATGTATGTATGTATGTATGTATGTATGTATGTATGTATGTATGTATGTATGTATGTATGTATGTATGTATGTATGTATGTATGTATGTATGTATGTATGTATGTATGTATGTATGTATGTATGTATGTATGTATGTATGTATGTATGTATGTATGTATGTATGTATGTATGTATGTATGTATGTATGTATGTATGCATGTATGTATGTATGTGTTTTAAGAAACATGTGTGGTTCTTTATTTCATTGTATGCTTACCTCATCGAGTGCCAAAACATGAGCCGTCCTGTTCAAAGGATCATCCCAAGGGAAGTACTCGTGTGTAACGACACTGATTGAAACTAGGAACAGAAATTGAACTGAATGTCTGGTGTAGAGAACAGAACTTTTATTACGCTCTGGCCGGGTTACTCGACATAAGATACAAATATACAGTTAAGAATGCGTAGGATGGCGGGAAGGTTTACTTGGAAGATTGTGTAACATATCTTATACTCTTTTTGATCCACTGAACAAACCGTGGCGTTGGTTCAGCATTTCACTATTCAAAACTATGACTCTACTTTCTGTACAGAAGCCTGTTTTGGGCAAAACAAATTGACTGTATGTCGTCGCTTGAAAACTCGGGTAACATTTCTATTTATTGTTAATTCAATAGATGCCCACGCTAAAATCAGTTTTAGGGCGGTGGGTAGCCTAGTGGTTAAAGCGTTCGCTCGTCACGCTGAAGACCCGGGTTCGATTCCCCACATGGGTACAATGTGTGAAGCCCATAAGCGGCGTAAAATCAAACTCACTCATTCTTAGTATTCATACACCATTTTACAATGTTTGAAGAGTAGAAACCTGATTTACATCTCACCTCAAATCGGAGGTTTCCAACAGGAGGTGCTGCATAGGGAATGCTCAGGTATCGTTCAACCTTCTTGGAACCCAGCACAGTTTTAACACTGCCTCTGATCCGACCATAAAGGGTCACTCACTCACTCACTAAAATCAGTTTTAAAGATTTCAGCTAAGATACTTACCCAAATCGTAAAACATGTTAAGATATTTTTTCATTTTATGTGGGGTTAGCAGCTCGGTAAATTCAGCGGACGCACCTGACCATCCTAGAGGATTACAAAATCAAAGCATACTAAAATAATACATAAACTAAAAACATAAACTAAAACACTGGTTCTTGCATAGTCATAGAATTAACTATTTTGAAAAAATATATGAAAACGTTTTAGTGTTTTGTGATCTCGGCGGATACAGGCGGATTTTTTTAGAAAGATTATATCTTTGATAACCATCTAGCCATGTAACACCGTACCTTCATCCCTTGTTGTTCCAGCCATAAAGGCTTCCCCATTCAGTTCAGCCTCTTTAAACAGAATGTCCGCGTGCTTTTCCACAAAGAATCCGTCAATTACAGGGGACAAACAAACGTCCGAAGGAATACACTGGAAATTCATTAAACCACTCAAGGTAACACAAGCATGCTGTTTAAAACACGACAAAAACATCTGACAAAAAAGTAGTTCGTGACGAAATTGTCTGAATGGAATCTGTACCCAGAAATAATATTAACATTATATAACATTACCTTTATGAACAGGTGCATACAAAGGTCATCGCAAAAACTCACCTTAGATATGTAAAGTCTATCCGTTATGTCTCTCCATGTCGCTGTCTTTAGGCACTGCTTGAGTTCCTGCAGATCCTTGGAAATTTTGCAACCGACCACTTCACTGAACCTGGTAAGAACCTTTCGATGTTGAGATTGTAATGCCCAAAGGGCTGTTGGTGACCCACTTTGTATGATGGCGAAACGGAATAAACCTGAAATTGATCATTCAAATCTTTGATGCAATACCTACATAAACAGAGAATAAAACCTTGCAATGCGCCTTTGTCTTAGTATCTAATATGTACCTTTTGACAGTGGGGACACAATATGGTAGCCAACATCTGCGGCCGCTGCACTGTGTCCTTCGACGGTAACCTTGCTTGGATTACCTCCAAAGTAATGAATGTTTTGAGAAACCCATTGCAGTGCAGCAGTTTGGTCCAGCAGACCATAGTTTCCTGGAAACTCCGGCTGTCCACCACTTAAAAAACCTGTAATATACAATTGAGTGTGCTGGAAAATTCGACTATTCCCTGAATAACTCATTAACTGAACTACCATCATTGCAACTATTCCAATATGACGTCATTTTGAGTTTCAGAATAAGTCCCTGCTTATTTGTGATATTATCAGTGTTTTAGGAAAAGGTAAACATTCTAGACTTTTACATACCGAGAGCACCCAGTCTGTAGTTAAAATTGACAACGATGATCTCCCCTTGTGCTGCCAAGATGTCCATATCTAACATGGCTCCCATGCCGACCAGGTTGCTGCCACCATGGACGTGAACAAGGACCGCCATCTTACTGCCATCTTCTGCAATCTTGTCAACGGATATAATGTAAATGTATAACTACTGTCTTGAAAAAATATATTATTGTCTATGCATATAAGTATACATTAAACATCATTACATTTACCATGCTTATAGATTGATTGTTTTCGGCTTCTCCGGTCTTGACGGTAGATATATTGTAATTGTATAACCACAAGATGAACTCCCCACTGAAAAAAGAGTGTATTTTGTGATTCTGAAATCATCTTTATCATCTGTTTTGGTACCATTGTGACATTCTTCTCCTGACAGACGCTCTATACAGTAGCTACAATCAGTGACAACAACTGACCAACAAAGCTATTCCTCAAGCTTAAGTTAAACGTCTTGGCTTAAGTCTCTTGTTTGGACAGTGCCAATCTCAACAGAAATGCCGATTCATGTGCATTAAGAAACAGAGCATTAAGGCAGGGAGGACATGTGGTGGGCATGGAAATGCTTGACTCTTGTTGCAATGTGCTCTCGCCAAAACTGATGTGGATGTTATCAGCAACGAAGTACTGTGTGTTGCATATTGCGCTTTCAGTAAACCCCCTGGCAAGCAGGTAAAATGGCTTTTGAAGACTGAGATATAATCATATTTGACTCTTTTGGTCAACATGTTCACGATCGCATGACTCATCGCGGAACCCAATACAAAAGAGAAATTTAATAAAGGAATCTTCAGGTTTTATGTTCAAGTGAAGAGTTGATAACACTGGTGAGTGGTACATTTTTTCTCACTTTACATACCGTTCTTATGTATGGCATTATTTGATACATTGATTATACCAAGTGGTATTATCGAACAGTATATGCAACGATGTTTGCATATATTGGTTACGGTATTTGAGACAATATGTCAGTAGAAACAACTAAAAATTGTTCATGTAGATGTTGAGATTTGTGATGGCAGCTGCTTCGGACAGAATGTTCATCGTCCTTTTCTTTCCACAACGAAATATGGATTTATTCTTGAACATTAATAAGATATGGATTACCTATTCATTACGTCAGCTCACAAACAAAGAACTGACAAATGGTCATGCCAATGGTGGCAGAATGCAATTTGAAAAAGAAATGAAAGTGTATTTCCTAACAGAAAATTTATGAACAGAGAAAATCATACAAACGTGACGTTCGAAATAAAGTACACACCTGGTGTCTCAGACTAATTTCCAAAGAGCAACGAAAATATTTTGAACGGTGTTTTGGTTGTGACTAAACAGGTATGCTAAGAGACAACCGTATAAAGCACAGTCGACACATTGTTAATGGTGTTTTGGTTGTGACTAAACAGGTATGCTAAGAGACAACCGTATAAACACAGTCGACACATTGTTAATGGTGTTTTGGTTGTGACTAAACAGGTTTTGCTAAGAGACAACCGTATAAAACACAGTCGACACATTGTTAATGGTGTTTTGGTTGTGGCTAAACAGGTATGCTAAGAGACAACCGTATAAAACACAGTCGACACATTGTTAATGGTGTTAAGGCCACACATCAAAATGAGAAGGTTATCAACAGCGGCGCAGGCTGTATTTTAACAATAAACAAAACTGATTTAAAGAACGCACCTGCGGGACATACATGTTCATGTATAAACAGTCTTCATCACTGTCATTGAATCCAGGACGGTGTGAATACACGTAACTCCATTTTGAAGCTATCTGGGGGCAAGCAGGGGGAAGCACTGTCGTGTTTCGTATACCTTTCCATGTAGCTGGTTTCTCAGGGTTCTGTAGAACAGATATCGTTGTGAAGCTATGTTCTGGCTGTAGAGTTGGCAAAGTCATTTTCACGTTACACATTTTGACAGATTCGTTTTCTTTAATGTTCTTAAACAGACCATATAAAAGGCATATATATGATGATGCTTTGATTGAGAGAGACGTAGATATCGGCAGGTTCAACAATATCTGATTCACAATAATATCAGAAACATTATAACAACCTATTTTGCTGCAAATGTGACATGTAAGGGGTAGTGGTTCAATTATGTTATCATGTCATCAAACGCTCCACATACAAATGCTTACACACGTCAGGTGAAAAGAAAGCGTAAATCCAAAAACCCTTGAAATATGGGAAGTTCAAATAAAACCATTTCGCTCTTAATGTTATTCAGATAGCAAGGATAGTATATATTGGGCGGTGGGGTAGCCTCGTGGTTAAAGCGAACTCTCCCCACGCTGAAGACCCGGGTTTGAAACCCCACATGGGTACAATGTGTGAAGCCCACTTCTGGTGTCCCAGGCCGTGATATTGCTGGAGTATTGTTAAAAGCAGCATAAAACCATACTCACTCATTCATAGTATTCATACACAATTTTACAATGTTTGAAGATTAGAAACCTGATTTACGTCTCACCTCAAATCGGAGTTTCGATGCTCATGCTGTTGGTCACTGGATTGTCGGTTATTTACAGACCGCCGTCATATAGCTGGAATATTGCTGAGTGCGGCGTAAAACTAAGCTCCCTCACTCACGCACTCATTCGTACCTCAAATCGGAGTTCTCCTACAGGAGGTGCTGCATAGGGAATGCCCAGGTATCGTTCAACCTTCTTGGAACCCAGCACAGTTTTAACACTGCCTCTAATCCGACCATAAAGGGTATGCCGTACCACGAATTCCTCAGCTTCAAACGCAATCACTATTGTTGCCAAGTAGGAAACACCGACAAACACTCTCCTAAAGGAAGACATGTTTAAGCTGGATACCGGAACCTTCAATGCTCTCACAATGGTCCTCTCTGACTCAGCTCACATTGAAACTGCTGACAGAGATATACTCTTGTTGATGCAGTGCCAGTAAACATTACAACTAGGTCAGTGCACAACTAATATCGCAATTACATCTAATGTTATATTCAAATAACTAAGAACGCAAATTATGGAATCCGAATGTCTGTTAACTATCATTTATATATATTGCAGTACATTGCTTGAACAGACAGAACATTACACAAAGCATGAGTCATTGTGTTTTCTATATCGTTAAATGCAGGTGCCATTTATCGCTGAAACGTGTTGTAACTATAATTCATTGTTTATGTTAACATTCACTAGCAGTGATGTCGCTATAATTAGCTGCGTATGAGCCAAATGTAACTGGAATCTTTCCAGAAGATATTTAGTCTGTATTAGACAAAGTGGGCAAGACCATGAATTTATTATCTCAAATTAAATTAAAACAAGCGATTGCATGAAGATGAGGTTTTTTTACATTCAGTCTTGGCATATTTTATAAATTTGTTAATTGTTACTGCTTGTCGAATATTTTAACACCACCAACGTCATTGCCATTACAACTGGTATGTAGTTTCGTTCAGGGGCTGTTTGGTAGCCTAGTAGTTAAGGAGTTCGCTCGTCACGCCTCAGACCCGGGTTTGATTCCCACATGGGTACAATGTGTGAAGCAAACCATACTCACTCATTCTCTATTCTTGATGACCCTTGAAAACATATACGCCATTACTCGTTATTGTATTATAATTGAATTCCAAATAGTTAATATAGGCTGATTTATCATATTTTTCGTTTAATTACCCTTTGTTTTATGGTTACAATGTGTGGATTCAAGCCTATCAATGTATGTAATTTGTTATGTAATCGATTCATGTATTTACATCTAAAGATTCACAAACTCTATTGTGCAATACATCAATTAATGATTCACTCATATTCAACATATGCATATTTGAAGAGGTACCTTGAGGAAGGTAACTAGTAATATGTTCTTTGACAAAGGAAGGGAAGAGTAAGGATGGCGGGCCTATTGTCTACATGATTGTATGTACGGCTCTCACGAGTATTCGGGTACTCTGGGCCGAGTCGGGTATAGCAGGACTCGAGTCCAATTGAATGGACTCGAGGACTCGCAGGGGAGATACCTCTAAACATCTCATGCAATCAAGATGGATGATCGTGAGAAAAAATCCAATGTCTGGACGCATTTTTATCTTGATTTAGTGGCCAAAATACGAAATGCCGTCTTTGTGGCGTTTCCCTTAGTTACGCAAGCATTTGTCCTGTAAGCACCCACAATAAGCACTGTAGACAGAAAACCAGCTCAACAAGCAACGCTGTGGCAGTTTGGTAAGTTTGATAGCAAAAGTCGCAAGCCTGTTGACAGGAAGGTATTACGCAAAAAGCAATGCTTATGCGCGTTAAGGATAAGCGACCATTAAGTCTTGTTAAAGGGGAGGGTTTCAGGGCTTTCTGTGAACCATTGAACCCAAATTACCAGGTCCCATGTACTGCGACAATTCACAACTACCTCATAAAGTCGTATGAAGTTTGCAAGGAGAACAAAATATCAGCACCCAAAACAGTACCTGCCGTTGCCCTAACTACGGACGCGTGGATAAGCGTAGCCACTCACGGCTGTATCACTGTCCCTGCCCACTATACCTATGTTTGAACAACTTGTTTTCTACATAGATATTCAGTCGTTCTTATCCAGCGTATTTCAGTGTTACATATTCAACAATCAACACATACATACGCATTCAAAATAACATTCACACTTGGAGACCTATATCTTTAATAGTGAAAATTTTAATCACAATGAATACCATTGACATGATCTCCGTTCAGCAGAGTTTCGGAAGAAGAAATACAGCGTAGTGTTACTCAATAAATGGTTAGTCTTTAGTTTGAAACCAAACCGTTTTCACTATAAGAAGTCTCAAATAAACATCAATCCTGTTTTACATATTCTTTAAGTTCCATAGTCGATCCATCTTTACAAGATACTAGTATCTAATGCAGCACCAATCAATGAATGCTTTATCTATGTATCTTCCAGCTTTGGAACGTGTTTTGCCGCATTTTAACCGTGATTAAGGTTAATTGATTATGTGACTTATCGTCCAGGTGAATGTTTAAAAGTTGCTAATATGTCATAACTGCAACGACATATTAATATTAGATAATCTTGAAAGCGCAGTCAAACTTAAAACCAAAAGAAAAGAGAAGTAGATTGATTGGTTTCTTTTCCCAGACACATCCAATCATATTACAGCATTTACAGGCGTAATAAGGTATCACGTCTAACATCCATACTTACGAAATTATTCAATTTGTCCCTTAGCCTGTCAATTTTTCCCAGTCCATGGAAAGAAGCATCGGTAATACCTATTCACAAGAAAGATAGCGTACATGACTGTTCTAACTACCGCCCTGTCGCACTCACATCTTGTTTATCGAAAGTCTTTGAGAAATGTGTATTTAAATATGTATTCAATTTCCTAAGAGATAACGACTTAATGACAAATTTACAATCAGGATTCATGCCAGGAGACTCCACAACAAATAAATTAACCTTTTTTGTACAACTTTATAGCCAAAGCTCTTGACGAAGGAAAAGAGGTTAGAGCAGTCTTCTGCGACATAAGTAAAGCCTTTGATAAGGTCTGGCATAGAGGAATTATTAATAAACTGAAAATCATGGTATCCAAGGCGAACTATTACAATGGTTTGAAAGTTATTTAGAAAATAGAGTACAACGGGTCGCAATTAACGGCTCTAAATCTGACAAGAAAACTGTACTAGCTGGAGTACCTCAGGGCTCTGTCCTTGGACCACTTCTTTTTTCTTATATACATTAATGATATTGTATGTGATGTTGACAGTAACATTCGTCTCTTTGCGGATGACACCTCATTATATGTTATCATAGACGATCCATCAGTTGCTGCTACCTGTCTTAACAAAGATCTAGATAGAATTTCACAATGGGCCCGTAAGTGGCAGGTTACATTTCATCCAAATAAAACCGAAACTACTCAGTTCTCACGTAAAACGAAACCGTCTCTAAAACCGAACCTATTCATGGACGGAACAATCATAAAAGAAGTCAAAAGTCATAAACATTTAGGATTAACACTCCAAAGCGATTGTACGTGGAATGATCACACTAATGATATTGTACGTAAAGTTCGCCCTATGATCAGTTGTCTGAGGAGTTTTAAATACCGATTATCACGTAAAACGTTGGATATTATGTATAAATCCTATATCTTGCCAATATTTGACTATTGTTCGCATATTTGGGATAACTGTACTTCTGAGCAATCGCGTACATTAGAAAATTTACATCTTGATGCTCTGAGAACTATATGTGGTGCCGTTCGCGGCACAAGTCATAACAAACTTTGACCTTAATTATGGCACTCGTTTTTGCCAAATCGTTCACTGCCGCCTCAGGCTCGGATGTAGCGACCTAAACGCCGATAAGTATAACAGACATTTAATAGACAGCCCTTGTTGTTCTTTTGGACATCAGAGTGAAAACGCCCTACACTATTTCCTCACTTGCCGTAACTATACTCGGATAAGACTTAATATGTATTTTTACACTACCGGTTATAACCTGGATACCATTCTTAAGGGAAACAAAGAACTTACTCCCTGTGTAAACCAGAAAATAGTTGAATCCGTCCACGATTATATAACCAAGACACAACGCTTTAAATTTTCTCAGGAAAATAATTAAATTTACTCAACAACCTTCTCATGATTGATTTATAGTTCTACAATGGCTTGTGAGACACACACAACTGTAACTCTCTAACTTATGACTACTTAGAGAATAGTTGTATTTCATGTAATCTGTATATATTTATACATTCTAAAAATATTATATTTATGCAATGGTCAGTATCGATGACGTCAAATCCTCCATTTTCATGTTGTATTATATGTTGCATGGGAGCGGTGTTAATATAAGCAGTAATGCTTGTTCACCAATCCCAATTCATCTTCATGAATAAAAATATGTTTAAAAAAAAAAAAAAATCAATAAGGTATCATGAACATTAATCACATAATTGATCGCGTAGAACTGGGTCACAGTGACACTTACGTTGCCTTCACATTCTGTTTGCAAATAAAAAGGTAATAGATACTTCCAATGACATTGAATATCAATTGCTTTATTCAGGAACGTTTGGATTCACATATACATGTTGCATTATTCGTAGATTGGAAGTTGGAACAGCTACGTGTATGCTTGAATGTTGGTTTCAGATAAGAATCCAAATTGTCGGGTACTCGGGTCCGAGTCAGGTCTGACACCTCGAGTACTCTAGTCCCAAATTTTGGACTCGTGAGAGCCCTATGCAGGTGTAATGTACAGTTAATTATACAGGATTAAAGACACAGTTAAATACAGGGTTAGACTCGTTGGAATAGAGTTTTGTTATATACTGTAATGATAATTTGAAACGACGTTTGTTAAGGGATGGCTCATCAGCCTCAACATAGAGACTATCAATAGGAGAGGTTCTAAAGGACCCAAGACAACGTCATAGGACTTGGCGGTGGACAGAATCAAGTAGTTTTAGGTTGCTTTTACAGGTTCCACCATATACGATGGAGCCATAATCAAGCTTCGAGCGGACAAGTGATCTGTATAGGCGTAGGAGAGTAGCTTGATCCCCTCCCCAATTTGAGTTAGAAACATCTTTAAGTAAATCGAATGCCTTCAGGCATTTAGTTTTTAGGCATTTGATATGCGGCAAAAAAGTTAAAGTGGAGTCGAAAATTAGACCCAAGAATTTGGCCTCCTTGACAACTTTGATGGGAGTGCCATTTAAAGATAGTTCTGGGTCACCTAATTTGGAAGCTGGGTTTCAAAGTTTGAAGAGAAAAGAGATAAGAATTTGAATGTTAATGGATTAAATTTAAAGATAAGAAGATGTTTATTCAAAGTGACGAAAACACAGACAACAGAGAATTGATTTTGGC